CCCTGCTTGTCACCCTCTACTGCCTGCCCTCCCCTCTCCCTTTACCTTTGCAGTTGCTCCAGCTTTGTCTCCACCAGGAGCATAGAGCACCCCACTGGTCTAGGCAGTAGTGGTATCTCCAGGCTCCAGGCTGGGTCAAGACCACTGTGGTATCTGCCATCGCCACTCTGTGCTCCTTCTCTGAGGTCCCTTCTGCTGCCCATATCCCATGCTCCCCTTGCACTGTGTGCCCCTCCCCTGCACCTCTTTCCGGTGCTCCCCTCACTCCATGCGTCCTTTTCCCCAAATTTCCCCCATGTTCTCATCACTCCATGTGTCCCTTCCCCCATGCCCCCCGATGTTCTTTCTTCCATGCTCCCTTCCCTGCACTGCAGCCCCCTTCCTCATGCTCCTCCTTGAAATGCTAGCCCCCTTCCCTCGCACTCCCCTGCACCATGTGCCCCCTTCCCCCGCACTGTTCCCCCACTCCACATACCCCTTGCCTGCCACATGAACCACCCTGGTCCATTCCAGACCTACAGCAGCTGCTTGCCATATTTTAATCTAAAACAAGGGATTTTTTTTTTAGCCCATGTTGAATGGGGGGGGAGGAGAGGGATGGTTGTCTTAGATTTAAGTAAATGTGGTATATTCCTCCAGCACTGAGACAAGATCCAACCCTGAATGAAGAGGGTTATATTTGGAGTGGTTTTGCTACACTTGTATTGCTATGGGACCATGCACATGTAACAGCTAGAGTATGACAAGTGATACACATTAGCTTGGTGCTGTATCCAAGGTAGTATCCCTGCACCTTTGAGTGCTGTGCTTCAGATACTGTGCTGTATAGATATACCCCAACAGAAGCTTGCTGCCCTTCTGTAAGGAAGAGAAAGACCTTGTAGGGGAAAAAGTAGCAGATGTAGAAAAAGATACTAACGGGCCAGTCTTGCATCTGACTCAAATTCTGCCCTGAAGAACCCCAACCACGAGTTCTACACTTGTAAGGCTTTAAACACTGCCTTCAGCAGGCGAAATTTAAATAAGCTTATTTCTAATGTGCTGCAATTCCTTTTTAGTCAAAGACCTAGGAAGAAGTCCGATGATTTCATAGCAAATAAAGCAAGAAAGAGATTAAAGTTCTTTATCACAATGCTTTGGCCTGGGATAATGCTTCTGCTATTCTTAGCTAGAGACCGCAAGTTATAGCATGCTGTACACAAACGATTGAAAAAGTTAATTGTCCCTCAAAATGTTCTAATACACCAGTGAAGTACAATAACTTGTTTCAATTCCATATCAGCTTGTAGTATTTACTCTTCACTTTTCAGCGTCCTAGAGCAATTACTAATATTAGTGACCTCTTTATTATGCTAGAATTTCTTCAGGGTGGAAGCTGAAAATGCGGTGTTCTCTCTGACTCGCAGCTTCAGCAATTTCAAAGACAGCAATAAGAGAAGTGGTTAAATTCTTGGTTTTTAATTCCTCAGAATCTTTAGCAAAAGCATAAGTACTGAGATACCTGTATTGAGATACTGTCTATCCTTGTGTTCTGAATCAATGTTGACCTGGATTTAATTTCTCCTGGAAGATTTTAAGGCACTTCCAGACCTTGGCAAAGGTCATAAATAGTTATCTATAGATTTCAAATAAAAAGATTCTTTCGGACTGTATTTGAAAGTCAGTGTAATCTTAACAATAAAGAACTGGATATGTAGTTAGGGCGGCAATTCTCTTTCTTATTCTAGTGTTAGAGTGATTTTGTAGCCATGATGGTCTAGGAATTTTGCAAGAGGCAAGGATTTCTTAGGGCGATACATTTTTTGGACCATGTGCATAGTTGGGGTAAAGTCTATGCTGTGTAGGGGTGTGTGAAACGGGCAGTATTACCCAGAAGTGGACTGGAAGAGTTTCTGGTCTACTTCTGGGTCTGCTGCCGAGCATGCTGGAGACCCCCCCCATGCTCTGGTGTGATGCTCCATCTGCCCCAGCATCACAGCATTCACGAGCTGCCTGCTACCTTGAGGTATGTAGAAAAAACATTTAAAACTGTCTCTATGTCCAAATCACCAAATCTTTCCGAATCTCTCTTAATCGATTCAGAGGTTCTGATTCGATTCAGAGAGATTAAAGGGTCTCCTGATTTGATTTGGATTCGAAGATTCAGCCACTGAATTGGGCTGAATCTCTAATGAATCAAATAAGTGACTGAAGCTTCACACAGCCCTAATGTTGTGCTGACTTTTATTCCACAGACCTGATGAAGAGGGTCTTGCATTTGGAAACTTGTCTAACACTATCCCAGTAAATGGTAGTCCAGTAAATGATATCACCCTATAGAATCCTAGCCCTTCTTATTCTGCCACTGACTTGCTTTATGACTTTCACCTTGCCTCCCTGCATCTTTGTTTTCCCCTCCCACCCTTTATCTCTCCTGTTTATTTAGGTAAAAAGCTTTTGGTGATGGAGCAGCATAGGATCTCTAAGCACTGCAGTAATATATGTAATAATACTGGTATATGTTAGATCATCCAACTCTCACCCAGACAGGGTAGAAACTGGCCCAGTTATCTGAATTAAAAAAACCAAAATAAAACACATTTTCAAAGCCAATGATAGCTAAGCACATTTATGGGGGATACTGTAGAATTTTTTCTGGACTTGCTCACTATTCTGTTGACTTTTTCCCCCAGCACCCTTGTGAAAGTAAGAGAGTCTTAACCCTGTTTTGTAAATAGGAGCAGTGAGACAAAGTGAATTGGTTATATGGGAAGCTCATGAGAATTAAACCCCCAAATCCTTCAAATCCAATGCCTTGAATAAAAAAAACTGAACTTTTTCTCTGGATTCAGATTAACAAGTTTCCATAACGGCTGGGCTGTGCCTGTGACTAACAGCCTGCAGCCATTCTACCTGCTCAAATACAGTGCCTTCTGAAGACTAAGACATATCTGTATAACTAAGTTATTAACGTATCACACTTAGTTCTTCAGTACCTCATCTGTCCTTTTCTCTTTATTGTGATTCCTCTCCCACCACTCAGATTTTCAGCAGAATTTGATTTCCGGACATATGACAACGAGGGTGTTATACTATATGCCGAATCCTCCAACAACACAGGATGGTTCTTGCTTGCACTTCGGGATGGAAGGATTGAGATTCAATTCAAGAATGAACATGGAACAAAAGTCACAAGCGGTGGCAAAGCCATTAATGATGGTGTGTGGCAAACAGTAAGTTGGCTTTTCCCCACCCTCCCCTCCAGTACCAGATTCCTGTCTGGTGGTCATACCTATGCAGTAGTGCTACTGTCTAGTTCTGTAAATATGTTTACCTTGACACAAGTGGATGGTAGCGCAGTTATTCTAACACACAACTATTTTTATTCCACACTATCCAGTACAGCTTGATCAAATGAAGGCTTGTTGTGTCCTAACAAAAGAAAATCTTAAGCCTTTCTTTTTCACTGATACTTGCCTCAGGGCTTGGGGTCTCTTCTGCTCCCAGTGAAGTCAAGAGGAATTAACACAAATAGGGTCTCTTTAATAAATCTGTTACATTCAGGGAAAATAGATTAAGGTTGTGAAGTCAAAGGCATCTACTCAAAACTTAAATAACAGAACTGCAGTTTAAATGGGCTTCATTCATTTTGGAATTTCCTAATTTTTACACACTTTGAAAACTTAATAAGATACTTTTAATGTACATTTGTGTGCATTTGCCTGAGTATTATAGAAAAAAAACAAGTCATTCTGTATGAAATGGCCTCAGGTATCATCAGCAGGTTTGAACCCAGGCTTTTAGAATTGTCTTTACTACTAAGGTTATGTCTCATTGATAATTAGGGTCTTCCACAAAGCCATACCCACCAATAAAATATATTATATACATTTTGTTTGGTCTTCAGCCCAATTTTGGAAGTTGTGCCAAATTTCTAGGGATGAGATCAACTTCTCTCTCATTCATCTCATAGCCCACCTCTTCCTGCATTATGTTTGGATTCTACCTGTACATGCAGATCTGGAGCATAGGAAGTCTACCCAGAGCTTCCCACAATTCTTTCTTCTTGTCTTCAGGTGCTTCTCACTCCACATCCTTTCCCCTCTACTCTTAAATAGAGACAGACAAAAAAGGAGACAAAAAAGGAGACAGGTCCGCAGAAGGATATTTTCAAAGATTTTGATTTATATGTAAGTGGCACAATGTGGATGGCTTAGTGAGGGCTGCAAGGTATGCTGTTAACAGGACAGGATGGCTCACATGACTTGGGTTGGCTTAGGGCAACTTCAGGTTGATCCTAAATATTGATGAAGACATATCCTAAGGGTTTAACTACTGCTGACTGGCAGCAAATATATACCATTTTCCTTTGTAAGCATAGAGGAAGGTGAACAACACATGGAAGAGGAGGTTACATACCTACAAGTAATCCAGCTTACAGATACCAGGGCTGAGTAACACAGATTTGACAGATTCTGAAAGGGTGTGCAGATAAATCATGTAAATGCATTGCATATCTGGACTCTGTTTCCATTTTGTGTAACCTTTCAGTGTAGTAGCAGGTGCTGCTTGAGTGAAAGGGTTTTGAAGGGCCAGAATAGGATAATGCGATGGGAAGTGTCTATAACAGAAGAAAAGGAGCACTTTCAGTATAGACAGGATATTGGGCAATTTCAGAAGCAAGCTCTTAGGCAAGCCTTTTAAGCGCAGTACAAACTAAAAAACTGTGATTTTTCAATAGCTTTTATTTCAATGAACAGTGCACAGGTTTTCTGAAAGAAAGCAAAAGACAGCTCCTTTCCCTTAGAAATGTCTCTGTTTCAAATTTTAAAGACCTACTGCAAGTTATGAATACACTAGAATGAATTTAAACAGTGTTATTTTTTAATGAGCTATATTAAGTAATCTTCAACCATATATGGATGTGTATTTATTTTTAATCCTAGATCACAGTGGAAGAACTAGAACACAGTATCTGTGTTAAAATAGCAAGGGAAGCAGTGATGAGTATTAAGAGCCCTGGGAATCTTTTTAAACAAATAAATGGTTCACTGGAAATCAAAGTGTATGTTGCAGGGCTACCTCCCAAAGCGGGCAACACCCTCATTAAGCAGGTAACTAGAAAATAATAATTATGCCTATTAAGATTATTGTTTGTTTCTCCAAATAATGTGTTTACCAACTGGGGACACAAAACAAAGGGAGGAATGTATGTATAAAATTAAAAAGGTATATTGATTGTTTTACTTTGAAAATGAGTATGCATCAACACTTTGTACTCACTTTGCACTGGGCACATTGTTAGGGTTTCATTATAGAATCACAGCAGTGAACTCTCTCTTCTGTTATCTGATGTATGTGGGGTCGGAGGGGGGCGGGCAGGCAGGGGTAGTGCAGGATTATAACCTATATATTTTTTAAATCTAGAGTCCTGAAGTAACAGGACCACTTATGCATTTTACAGATGTTCCCTCTCTTGCTAGTAAATTGGCTCAGTCTGAGTATGTGTGCAAGACTGAAGGAAGCACAGAGATATTTTACTTTTGCTCTGCCTATGCCCTATCCAACCCAGCTTGTAGCAGGGGGTGAGGGGGCGGGGCATGGTCCCCTCATCTCACCCTTCTCAAGAGCTCAAACTTATTGTGGGTGCACCAGCTCCTTGCTGCTCATCCCGCAGCCCATCAGTGACAAGCTTGGCAGAAAATCAATAAGTCAATGGGCTCTGGAATCCAAACTTTGCTTTTGTCCCAAGAAGAGAAAAGCCTCCGTTGCCCATATTGTATCTCTCCTTCATATCTGGAGTTCCTATCCAGGATCTTGCAAATCAATACTACAGAATAATTTCCATTTAAAAACCTGCCACCAATCCACCAAAATAAGATAGATGCCAATATTTGAATCTCTTTTTAAAGTACATTTTTGCTCTCAGTGGGAAAGAGAAAGGAAAAAAGGTAAAGCTACACAACATTTAAAAGCTCCTCTGTAAATAGCCTCTCACCTAATGTGAAATGTTCCTAGAAATATTTGGGTTCAGTGTCAGTGTTACAAACCTACACCATCAATATGGCTATGGTTGACTGTCTGTCAATAAATATGTTGTTATGTAAAGTAACTCACACTCCATTGATTAACACTGTTTCTAGAACAAATCTGAATGCAACACACACTACTATAACTCTTCTGCAGATTAACCCTCGCATAGATGGGTGTGTTCGGGCCTTGAACCTGATGAGTCAGGGACATTTAGGCTTAACAGAAGTTATTAAAAAAACACAAATCAAACGCTGTTTACCATCTGTGGGGAGAGGATCCTACTACCCTGGCACTGGAGTGGCAAAGTTTCATATAAACTATAGTAAGTATTTTTCAGCCTTCTGCAACATGTCTTTAAGCTGAACTAATGTATCAGAACAGAAGAGAGTAATGAGCTCAGTCACATGCTCTTGATTTGAACAAGTACCCCACTAACCTAAGTTGGAGGATAGCTTTCAGTCCCATGCATCTCAGCTTAATTTCTCAAGTAGGGACACTTGCAAGGAGTGGAGAGGATTAAACAGATCCTTTCCATCTGTCTCTGCTCCAGGTTTGCCAACGTGAGTAGTTCGAACTATGAAAGAGAACCATACAAAATTACTTTAGAGAAAGGTACAGTTAGAAGATGATTATGATCTAAGTAGCACAATGCAACATTAATGTAACATTTTAAAACAGGTAGCTCTTGTATTCAAGTATCCCATCCCTGAGCAAACAAAAACATGGGAGCATAGAGCAGAATGCCATTTCTCTTTGTTCAGCTAAAAGGCAGTTTTCTAACTGCATAAATGGTGTTTTTGGCACATACACAAAAGTTGCTATGTTGTTATCCCTGCACTGTGGGCACAAAAGCATATACTAAACCTGTGCAGTTGGCTATGCATTTGATGGGCACGTATGCCTCTCCATTCTAGATGCATGTCAGGAAAATGTAACCAGTTAGAAATCCATGACTAATGGGTGTTAGATGGAAGAGAAGCCTCCTGTGATTCAGCCTCAGCACCTGAGTGCTTAGGGCACTTGCCTAGGAAATGGGAGATTCAGGTTTTAGACCTGCTTGCCCAGAGTGGATTTTAACCTGTTTCTCTCAGACTTCCCAGGACAGTGCTCTAGCCATTTCACTGCAGCTCAGCCAGTATCCAGCCCCCACTTCTCCTGTGATGCTTTTGAATCTGGCTGCTGACCTGGGCAGCCAAGAGGGGAAGATGTGGGGCCAGGTAGAAGAGAATAAGCTAGAGAGTGTATGACTCAGTGACATGTCTGCTGCCCCTGGATCGGAGGGGGCCCTGGACTGCTCTACTGCACTGCTTTCTATCTGTGCTTGTCCAGCTAGTATGTTGTTTGCTGTACATGCTCAGTCTTCATGCAAAGGTTTTAATGTCCCCAATACAGGGGTAAGTGCCAAAAGTCCCAAGTTAGAAAACTGTCATGTAGGTGCACAAAGGGAAATAGAATTCTGCCCTATACAGTGTTGTAAAAGACCTCCTGGGTTATTAAGACCAGCTCCATAGTATCACAGGAAGCACGCTATAATCTCTTTCATATGCTGATCAACCTCCATTTTAAAACAAATACAGTAGTTGTTTTGTTTGGCCCATTCACATCTGCTGGTAGGCTGTTCCAGAACTGTACTTCTCCAATAGTTAGAAGTCCCCTTTAGATTTCTCATGTAAATGCATTCTTGGGGGTTTCTCCCAACACTGTCCTAGCCTGAATGCATCAAACTTAAACACCAGCATACTGCTCAAGCAACTAGTATCCGTTGAATAGCAGGGCTACTTGGGTGTGCAATTTTAAAATGCATAAGTTTGAGTTATTGATGTTCTGCATGGTAGCCAAGTTTTATGAGTGAGCTATCAGTTTCTCCACGTTTTTCCTTTTGGCTTCTGGAATACCTCTTTTTACTTCTGCCACCTCTCCCTATATAAAGGTGAGCTTTGTCTTACTGTTTTCTCACTCCCTCCACCCCAATACTCTATATTGTACTCTCATACATATAAGTGTGTGCATGTAAGTAGTAAGACAAAGTTCACCTTTTCATTGTAGATTAAGCTTATTTTTCGTAATGGGGTCATAGATTAAGGAGAGGCACAATGCTAATAAAAAATAATAGCATTGGTTGATGAATAAAGATATTTTCACAATTCATTAATTTGCTCTTTTTTTCCCTAAAACCAGACAATGATACTGACACTGGAGAGTGGGTTATAAATGTAGTCCTGAACATTCGCCCATCTAAAGGCACTGGGGTTATGTTTGCCTTGGTTTCTGGTGAATCAGTGCCTCTTGCTTTGTCGATCGTGGACTCCAGCTCCTCCAACTCACAGGTGATCTTAAAGTTATCAAAACAACTTTGGGCTAGAGACCCATCTCCTAAAAAGTCAACATAATGAAAGAGAATCCCTTCCTTGATTCTCTGCCTGCCAGTTAGGTCTAACAGTCATTATTCAAAATAATAGGGGTGTTGCAAAGCTGTTTTAGTTGTTTCTGAAGTGCTCAGAGAGTTCAGAACACATAGCATTAAAAAGATATTATTAATAATTCTTATTAAGCAGCATTAGAGGAGTGCTTAAGAGTCAACCAAGAATGCCACCCCATTCATTAAGCGTCATACAGTAGGCTGTATGTGCCCTAAAGAGCTTACACGGTATATAGACAGGGCAGACACAAGGAGGGAGAAAGAAGGGGTACAACACACAAGCAAAGCAAATGATATGATGATGTCAGTACATGTCCTATTAATTCCAGATGGTCTTGCTGTCCTTCAGTTTCCTGGTGTTCCTGCTTACAGGAGGGAACACATGACAAGACAGTGCATGTTTGCATGTGCCTCCAAGCAATCCATTTTTTGTTTGTTTCTTGTAACTACCTAAATTAGGGAACAAAGAATGATATTTTGCCTGCATTGAAACCAATGGAAAAAACTTCAACTTCAGGATTTCCTTCCAGAAGTGTTAAACTAGATTTTCAGATATGAAAATATACAAGTGGCAGCAACAGACCTCCAGCATCTATTTTGAAAAATCTTGGTCCCCATATTTCCTATAATTTTTACTTTCTAACACAAAAGGCCCCAAAACTAAATGAAATACATGCCAGGATTTTATGTGAAGTATTTTGTATTCTGCCACACAGGACATCATTGTGACTATTGGGAATATTATTATTGCCCAGCTGGAATCGAAGAGATTATGCACCACCAGAAAGACACTGGTAGGATTCAGTGCAAGCAAACAGCAGATTGAACTGACGGTTGATTCACAAACAAATGTAACAAATTCAGAGCAAGAGCTGTCTATCCTCGATCAAGTAATGAGAGGAACTGTTGCTGTTTACACCTACTTAGGTGGTCTTCCAGGTGAATTTCATTTCTTAACATCAGTTGGAATGAATTGGTTTTACTTGGCCTTCCCAGCTTAAAAAACCCTAATTTTTTCCTTTGTATTTGAGAGTCAGTCTGTAAAGCTTTTGTTTTAATGGAGACTGACACTTCAATAGCAGCATTAGTGGGCCAGCTTTATGGCGCAGCAGAAGTTTCTTCCCCAAGGCCTGTTTTTGGAAGTGACCCTCTGGCACCTGTCCCTGTGAAAAGATAAATGATTGTTTAGCACTCCTGAAGTGACATCAGCTGGCAGGCTCAAGGAACTGCAGCAGCTTTAGAAAGAGTCAAAATAACCCAAAATGAGAAGGCTAAACTATTGCCAGTAAAGCTTTTTGATATCTCCTATTTAAAGTCACTACAAGGAGCAGAGAAAATCCTAGCTTTTTAAGACCTAGAAGTCTGACAAACAGTTTTGAATGGATTTCTATCTAGAATGGGCAAAATCTAGCCCCTTCCTCCCTGGTTTCAGCACAGTTCTTGTGCTGGAGTGGAGAAAGTGTGGGGCATGCTCTTCACGTGGCATGAAGACTAGCTGTTCATGGGTTCCCTGCAAGGCAATGAAGAGTGGTCAGGTGGGGCCAGAGGATCAAGTGTTGCCTCCTATTGACTAGTCCTGTCCTACCTAAAGAGGCAAATATGCACTATAGATGGTATTTCAGCCTCAGGGCTTCATTGTAAGCTCCTTCTGCAACCTGGATGTGTGTGGGAGAAATGAGAAAGCAATCTGTTCTCCCCTGGTCATTCTCAAGGATGTACCACATGTACATCCTGATAATTAGGCTAGAAGTATAATATAGGATTTAGGCATAAAAGCAGGTTACAAGTAGAGAGTAAGGCATTTGTCTTGACTTTGGAATGGGCTTGTGATGGCTTGGAAATCAAACACACTTATCAGCGATACAGTAGATGCGTTTTATTCAAGTTGATGTTTAGTGAGGTCAAATCCGAGGCCACAGAATGGGATGTGCCACCTGGCCCATGGCCCAACCAACATTTAGCACGGTGGCTCAAACACAGCCCCACTCCCTGCCTCCCTCACATGCACAGTGGTGGCCGTGCTTCGCCTCCTGCAGCCCTGCTAGGAGGGAAGAGTGACAGCCTCCTGTAGCCAGTGTGTTGGGCCCTGCTCCAGCGCATTGGCTGTGGGTGGCAGACTGTGGCTGCTGCTGCGCATGGAAGGGATGGAGGCAGGAAGGGAGCGGGGCTGTGTTTGAATCGCTGAATTGCTGCTAAATGTTGGTCAGGTTATGGCCCGGGTGACCCACCCCGTTCGGCGGCCTCTGGGTCAAATGTTTCAGTAAAAGTTGTTACTGTGAGCTTTAGTTGCGATCACAGTATGCAGCTCTACATCAAGAGGTAAAACCAATACTTATAAATAAATAAAGATCAACAGAGGATTATACTAAATGCTTAACAAGGAATTATCACTTAAAAGCCTTTTTTGAAGAAAGATACTGATGAGCACTTTATCATCTAAGTAATGTTCAAAATAATTCTTACACTTTGCCTCTGTGCTAGTCGTCAAAAATTAGAAGTTGATTTAAATCATATATTTCTATTGGCTTTTGAGCCTGTATTATCCTTCACTGCTTCCCCTACTTTGTAAAACTGAAAAATTGTACTAGGTATTGCCATGCTTTGGGAAATTGTACAGTTATTAGCAATAAAAAAAAAAGCAGCATCTGGCAGCTTTTTCCACACAGAGGTCTCAATGTTTCTGCTCTTCTTCCCCATGTTTTTAAGGTGCAAGTAATATCCTATTCTGAAAAATACAGATTTAAACTGTTTTCAGCTACAATATGGTAGTAAACATTGGGAAATGCCAATTTATTCATAACTCCTTTGAGCTGATCCCTGAAAAAGTTGCTGGGAACATTGGGAAACCTTGTACTACCAGAAATCAGATGAAGAACATAAAATTATAAAGTTCAAAATATGTTTAATGAAAATATAGATGTTCTGAAGTAAACAAGCTGGCTTTTCATTAGCAGTAGTTTATTTATAGCTTTCACAAAAATGATATAGTAGAATTAACAAGCAAAGTATACATTATATAACAGTAAAATTAAATGATTTGTGGTTATTGGTAAAAGCATATAATAAAATGACACATTCTATTAATTTAAACAAAGTTAAAACAAACTTAATATATGATGATATGTACAAATAAAGAAAACGACGCAACTTAAAAACAGGGTAAAATATTAAAAACAATTATATTTGATTTTGGCCCTTATTCTTTATGCAGGTAGTGCAAATAAACCTGCAGAGTATAGGACTGACTGTAAGAGAGGAGCCAAATTGTTTTTCTTCATTACTCCAATATTTAAAAATTTCCCTTTAATTTCTTCAAAGAATGAACAAGACCCCAAATAACTGGCTTTTCTGACAGGGATACCCTTCATGTTCCAAAGGAGTATGAAGATTAATTTAAAAATTAGTTCTGCATTTTTTAATGAAATATGGGGAGTTCTACCATGCCTACCTGTTATTCAGCAGATCAGCCATAATATAGAGAACTATTTTACCAGGACTCTTCATTTAGAGAAGAGAGAGGACATGGACACCCAAGAGGGTGGAAGATGGAGACTTGTGACTTCTGGCAACAAGTAGAGATCACCTCCACCTGCAGTGGGTCATGTGGAGAACAGATATGCAGCCCTAGCAGCAGAGAGGAAGGAGCACGTTCTGTTGGTGGAGGAAGACAGGCCAGGGCTCACCAAGGTGGGAAGGATTGAGATGACTGCCACCAATAAGTGATGGGTGATGGTGGCTGGAAACTCCCTTCACAGGGGATGGAGGGAGCCATTTGCTGACCTGACCTGTTGTCTTTGGAGATCTGCTGCAGATCCAGAGTCTGGATCTGAGATGTCACGGAGGGACTACCAAGGCTCATCTGGCCCTCTGAGTACTACCCCATGCTGCTCATCCATGTGGGCACCAATGATGCTGCCAGGGGAGACCCTGAGCATATCAAAACTGACTATAGGGTTCTGGGTGCAAGAGTGAGGGGGTCTGGAGCTCAGGTTGTGTTCCTGTCGATCCTTCTGATGGCGCCCAGGCAGGAGCAGGTGCATCCTGCAGATCAACATCTGGCTGCGCAGGTGGTGTCGCCAGCGGGGCTTTGGCTTCTTTGACCATGGGATGTTCTTCCAAGAAGAAGAATTGCAGGGAAGAGATGAGAACCACCAAATGAAAAGAGGGAAAAGTGTCTTTGCCGACAGGCTCGCTAACTTAGTAAGGAGAGCTTTAAACTAGGTTCACCAGGGGATGGAGACTAAAACCCTGAGGTAAATGGGGAAGCTGTAGACCTGGAGGAAGAGCAAGCAGGAGGGGGCAACAGGATAAGTCTTCTCATACTTTCTGAGAAATCAGGGCAATCAACTGGTTACCTTAGATGTCTGTACACAAATGCACGGAGCCTGGAAAACAAGCAGGAAGAACTAGAAGTCCTTGCACAGTCACAGAACTATGATGTGATTGGAATAACAGAGACTTGGTGGGATAGCTTGCATGACTTGGAGCACTGTTCTATATGGCTACAAACTGTTCTGGAAGGACAGGCAGGGCAGAAGAGTTGCACTTCATGTGAAGAGCCACATGATTGCTCAGAGCTCGAGTATGAAACTGGAGATGGGCCTATTGAGAGTCTCTGAGTTAAGGTTAGAGGGGAGAGCAACAAGGGTGATGTCGTAGTTGGGGTCTGCTATAGATCACCAGACCAGAAGGAAGTGGTAGATGAGACTTGCTTCAGACAGGTAGAGGTTGTTTCCTGATCACAAGCCATGGTTCTCATGGGGGACTTCAGTCACCCTGACATCTGCTGGGAGGGCAATACAGCAGTGTGCAGTTCAATCCAGGAAGTTTCTGGAGAGTATTGGGGACAACTTCATGATGCAAGTGCTGGAGCACCCAACTAGTGGCCATGCTATTCTTGCCCTGCTGCTCACAAACATGGAAGAATTGGTGGGGAATGTAGTAGTGGATGGCAACTTGGGCAGCGGTGACCACAAGATGATTGAGTTCAGGATCCTGAGGAAAGGAAGGATGAAGAGCAGCAGAGTAAGGACCTTGGACTTCAGAAAAGCAGACTTTGACTCACTGAG